GGCTACAGTCCATAGCGTCACAAAAAAGTCAGACACAACTGAAGTAATAGTGCGTGCACACACACACATGCATGGTCCGAGACTGGGTACCAGTTTGGATGAACCAGGATTTTGGAGTCAACTGAAGAAACTTTAATATGACGTACATATTAGATGAGATGAAAATACATTGAAATATGAAAGTGGAAACTTTTAACAAAAACAGAGATTGTAAAGCAGTGTGTACCAGATGATCTCATTTCAGTAGTGAGAAGTGCAATATGCCCATGTGCACAGATAAGGATTCAGAAGACTATACAACAGGGTATGAGCAGGAGTTATCTCTGGGTGATGGATAAACAAGGCTTTATTTTTGCTTTCTTGTATTTTGTTTTTAATTTTTCTTATTGCTTCCTTGATAAAGCATTCTTTAAAAATATTTTTTTCTAGGACATCCCTGGCTGTCCAGGGCTTAAGAATCTGCCTTGCAAGGCAGGGACAGATGTTCAATCCCTGGTCCAGGAACTAAGACCCCACGTGTCACAGAGCAGCTAAGCCTGTGGACTACAACTACTGAGCCGGCGCTCTAGAGCAGGCGCTCGTCAACAGAAGAGGTCACTACAATGAGAAGTTGGTGCAGTGTAGCAAAGAGGGGCCCCTGCTCGCCGCAACTAGAGAAAGCCTGTGCACAGGAACAAAGATCCCGTGCAGCCAAAAATAAATAAATATCAAATACATACATATGGATACGTGTATATATATTTCCAACTTCTGTCTCTTTTAAATAAGGCTGACATTTAATCAGAGGAAAACTGCTCAAAGAGAACACCAACATATCCATTACACCCAAGGTTCGAGTTAGGTCTAGTGGCTGACGGTGTGAGCTCTGACTGAATTCCATACACAATGCGCTGTGTGGCCTCCGGCATGTTACTTAACCTGTGTCTCAATTCTCCATCCTAAATGGTGGGTAATAAAGATAACATTATTTGGCTCATGGAGATTAAGTTGACACTCCACGTAAAGCATGTCAGAGAGTTTGACATGTAATAGTCAAGCACGTGATGATACTGATACAGGTTTGAACCCTGGTAGGGGAACTAAGATCGCACATGCCACAGGCCAACTAAGCCTGTGTGCCACAACTGAGACCCTATGCAGCCAAAAATAAATAATTTTTTAAAAAAAGCTTCAAAACTCTCTAGTTAGTGCTTCTGAAGAGTCAAACATGTTACAAGCAATCCTACATGTGATTTCTAAATTTTCTAAGAGACTGGTAAAGTTCTTTCCTTTCGAGGCCACAAAGTGATCAAGAATATGTAACTCACCTTCAAGGAGCCCTTCCTGAGTGAATTTAATGACCTTCCCCTTCTTCCAGAGCACCAACTACTGTCTTAAACCCCAGCAACAGGACATATTAGGTTTGATTCATATAGATAAAATGTTGGCCATTTGATATTTGGAATAAACATTTTAAGAAGTTTAAGAGACAATTAAGATGGCATTTCAAACACATGAATTATAGGATAAAAAAGGTTTAAAGAAACCCCAGTACCAGCAGTTCCCTGGTGGCCCGGTGGCTAAGACCCTGTGCTCCCAAGGTCGGGGGCCCTAGTTCTATCCTTGGGGAAGGGAACTAGATTCCACACGTGACAACTAGAGATCCCATGCACTGCAACGGAAAGATCCCGCATGCTACAAACAAGATCTGGCACAAATAGATAACAAGTAAAGAAATATTTTTTGGAAAAAAAGAAGGAAAGAAATCACAGTACCTTAAGAGGTAAAAGATGCAGCTGTGGGGCTTATCTTCTGCCAACTGAACTTCAACCAGTATACTAGTCGACAAAACTGACCGCAACCTTTGTTTGCTTGATAGTGTGATAGATGGAGTAATCTGGATTTGCACAGCATTGTAAGTGGGCAAAACAGTCTGCCCTCAAGTAGCATTTCACAAGGAGCAGAGAAAATGTCAATATCCATACCACCAGAAGCCTCTGTTAAATGCCACCAAACCACACATTAGGTATCAAAACTGAGACGCCTACGTTCAGTCTCTAATGGTCTTTCTCCTCAAATGCCCAATTAAATGTTACTAATGAGGTTCAGAAATAGAGCAACCTAGCTGATATACAGGTCACATACCCTAGCTCATCTTCTCTAAAAACAGTCAAAGCATAGTTATCTATGATGAGGTCTATGCAGACCCACCAAGTTATAATTACTTTCTAAGGGTATTATTTTCAAATGTCGGGGTCATAAGCTTAGAGAGTGATTTATCCAATCTTTCACTAGAGAATATGTGATGCAAATCATCTCCAACTCTGGGAAAGTCTATTTCCCTTTCCTGCCTACCCATTTATCACACCCACTAGCCTTCTCACTGAGCACCTAAAATCAAGCCCTAACTTGAAAGAGGGGCCCACTGTCATTCTGTACTACGGCAGTTATTTCACTGGGCTTTAGACGACCTCCAGTTAGTGTCTTCTGAGTATGTGCCTGCCTCTTTAATCTATTATCACCTGTGAAGGATTAGGCTATTCATTCTGGGAGCTAATCATAAACTCAGCCAGTCTCTATTTAACTTCCGGTTCAAAGGGTGAAAAGGAGTGTCTGAATCAATGTCATCATTTTCACAGCTTAGGAATATAAGTCCAAAGAGGTAACACAAATTACCTGTGATCACGTACTTAATTGGTGGCAGATGTCAGAACAGAGTCTTTCTGATATATAAAGTGAATCTGGATCAACTTAAGTTTCCCCCAAGTGACTTAAATAAATCAACAGAGAACTTGTGCTCTATTTGGAACATTAGCTATCCCAGAAGCAAGTAAGAACTGGCACTGTCTCTTTCCCAGGCTGCTGATCACACTTTAATTCACGGTTCCTCCACGAGCTACAGGCATGAGTTTTGCAATGGCAGCGCATGCAAAGAAATTCTCAGGCACTCCTTTCATTGACTACACAGACTTTGCAATAAGAATCATCAACTTTGGGAATGATTTGGCAACCATAAACTGCCCTGTAATATCACCAGCTGAATATCTTACAATGGTATTTATCTCACCATTGCCAAACTCAGAATTTCCTAACCCAATAAATGGATATTCTGCTTCACTTGACCTCAAACTGGACAAATTTCTCAAGATGCTGTGGGTCTTTAAAGATCTAGATTTCTCCCAGTGTTTCTCAACAAGAGCAATATGACATTATGAGAACCATCCTCAGTGTGTTATGTGTGATTATCCAGTACACTGCAGAAGGTTTAGAATCTTTGGTTCTGTCTTCCAAATGCAAGTAACCCATGAGTCACAACCCCTACACATCTATAAATGACCTCTGGGAGGAAGATACTATCCACCAGTATTAGCCTTCAGGCCAATCATTAAGTGAAAATTAAATAAGAAAAAATATTTACATAAAGATAAAGACCTGACCTCTTTTCCCTGCCACTAAATACTGACTTCCATTCCTCTTTATTTTTAGCCCAGAGATTAGATATAATGCTTTATTCACTAGCTCCTAAAAACCAGTTATGTGGGAACTATATAATTAGAACACTTGCATGGTCAGGGAAGTGGAGGAGGAGGAGACAAGTTACTGATACGGAATCAGGGCATCTAACTTTGAATTCCAGTTTCTAGCTATTTATCTTTAGGCAAGTTCTTTTCCCTCTTCAGTCCTCAGTTTTATCATCTATTTAAACAAAAGGCATTAGTCTAAATTCTCTCTCTGGTTCACTGCAGTTTTGGGAATCTGTAAAGTAAAACATAATTAACTCTCCTAACTCTTTTCTTTGGACCTCCATGTAGCCAAACATGGGTCACTACTTCCTCTTTCAGAAGCAAGGAACCCAAATCCCCAGAGATAACCATAAGACAGGACAGTCAGATTCAGCCAGATCCAGCATAGGATTTTACTACAGATTCTGATTCTTAAGTGTATAAAAAGGAGCTGAATTCTTTTATAAGCCATTAATAATAGAAGCACCAAGATAATAGCAGCAGCAACAGTCACCCTAACCTATGTTTGTCTAAGCTTACCAATAATCTCAACCCTGGATGCATGTTATCATCACCCAAATAACTTTTTAAAAATGCCCCAACTCTAAGCCAAGCCAGTATCAAGTGAATCAGAATCTCTGGGGATTGGCTCATTTCTCAAGATTCCCCAAGGGATTCTTATGTAGAGTGAAAACCAAGAACCACTAATTCAGACCCTGTAATCCAAGAAATGCAAAGCAAATGAACACAAGTTCACATGTTGGTTGTACAAGCAAATATCTATAAATAAGAATAATATAGCAGTATTACTTAGGGACATTCTCAATTACATGCAAAGAACTGCTTTTCTAGAGGAAAAGGAGAGCTCTGCAACAACCCCTTGTTCCTCAATAAAGACTGGCCTTGGGATTTCACTGGTGGTCCAGTGGTTAAGAAAGGTGTCAGACTCATGACATGAACCACCTTGCAATGCAGAGGATGCGGGTTCGATCCCTGGTCAGGGAACGAAGATCCCACGTGCCAAAAGACAAGTAAGCCTGTGCACCACACCGCAATAGTTTGTGACTGTGCCCTACAGCCTGTGCTCTGCACAGCCAACATAAATTAAAAAAAAAAAAAAGAATATAACTTCCTGACATGATAAAGCAGTTCAGAGAAAGATTACTACCAGTTTGCCCATCCCTGCTAAAGTCCTATCACTCATTGGACAGTTACAACAATGTTAGTCAAAGTAATAAGACTGAAACTCCTCAGCCTCACTTGCTGAGTCTCGCTAAAAGACCCCTTGTAAGAAGAACAAGAGAACAGTGAGAGGAAACATTTAGCAAAAGATGTTTTCAAAAACCTGTACCCCAGGTAAAATATCATCTCTCACTTACTCATCAAAACTTTAAGTCCAGTGATGTAGAAAAAGGTGAAATAATCTTGACTCAAAATATTCTTGCTCTTTCTAGAACAAGATCAGTGAAACCAATAGGACAGGTTCAATAAGAAAAACATTCAGCCTCTCTGACTTACCTCATGTGTAAGGCCAAACCATCCTGGAGGCTTGAGATCCCCAAGTCGGAGAGCGTGTCTGAGCTGACTGAGGCTGGTGACAGAGAGCCCTCCTTCTCCTCCAGCAGGTCAAGCTTCACCAGGCTGCTAATCTCATCCTCCGAGTTATCTTCAGACACGGAGCCAATTATGAATCGGGAGTGCTGGTTCAGCTCCAGAGGTTTGGCCAAGGAAGGTTCATCCATTGTTCCTTCAAAATGAGTTCTCAGAGCTATGGAGAAGACGGAGCATAAGTAAGAAAAACAGGTTGTGGATAATAACCTACATCTGAGGAAAGCCACAAGTTAGACCCAATACACCACAGCTGGCACTTGGAAGCAAGGCGGAGTCTGAGATCTAGTATTCTTGGCTATTCTTTTTCAAAGATTTTGCTTTCATTTTTTTCTTAATTCTCTCTCTTTTTTTAAATTTTGGCCTACACTACACAGCATGTGAGATCCTAGTTCCCTGGGCCAGGGATGGAGCCTCCTGCGTTGACAGCACAGGGTCCTAACCATAGACCACCAGGGAAGTCCCAAGAATTTTGCTTTCTAAAAGAAAATTCAGATCATAGGAACTACACCTAAAAAAATTAAAATCAGTTCCCTTTTCCTCAAAGAACGTTCTCTCTAAAAACTATAAGCCATTCCCAATGTTTTTAAATTTGGTCATGTCCAGGAAATAATAATGACCAATGGAGAAATCTTTGCAAGTAGGTGAAAGCTGCTTGCTGTGATATTGTGATTTCAGCTGTTAGTATTGGGGCTTCCCTGATGATTCAAAGGTTAAAGAATCTGCCTGCAATGCAGGAGTCCCGGGTTTGATCCCTGGGTTGGGACAATCCCCTGGAGAAGTGAATGTCTACCCACTCCAGTATTCTTACCTGGAGAAATTCATGGACAGAGAAGCCTGGTGGGCTACAGACCATGAGGTCACAAAGAGTCGGATACAACTGAGCAACTATCACTGACACTTACTAGAGAGAACGTGGGTAAGGGTGTGGGGACAGCAATGGTCCTTTGAAACTTGGTGTTTAAAGTAAAGTATACAACTATAACCTAGTTCCAAATACTACACTGTGAGAGGCTATGAATTTTATGTAACTGTACATATTTATTAGACATCAGTGGAATAATATATAACAAATTATACATATTTATTATACACAAGTGAAATATATTTATAAACAAACATACATAGAGAAAACTAAATGTGTATATATACTACACACTACACACACACACACACACACACACACACAGTTTGCTTGAAAACAAACTCCAAATGAGTATTTCTTAATTTAAAAAAATCTTTACTTGTTCCCATGACTTTTTTCTTAAAATTGCATCTGTTAAAAATTCACCCCAAAATGTCTGTTTTGGGCTCTAATGTGCTGACTGCTGAAACTGATTGGGAGAAAGTGAATCTACTGTCAAATTTAAAACCTATAATTAAAATTAAAGAAGTGTTATCTCAATTAAGTATAAGTTTTCTAGATACAGGGCCTTACTAGTCAGGAGTAGATGTTACCAACTGCTAACAAGCTAATTAACAAAGATCAAAACATAGCTCAAAGATGAGAATAATAATAAAAGCCAAAAATAAATGAAATATTTACTCTGTCATTTCAGAAATCCTATTTTAAAAAGTCAAAACTACACGCCAGGGAGGCCTGGCGTGCTGCAATTCATGGGGTCGCAAAAAGTTGGACATGACTGAGCGACTGAACTGAACACATCAAATTGGTATTGAACAGCTTATTGCCTGACCAACAATTCTAATTGAGAGGAATGATTCCCAGTTCTGATACTGAGATGCTCTAAGAAAGTTACAATAATAAATTTATTATTAATAACTTCATATGCTACAAACCACTTTGATGTATAAAAGATAACAGTAGTGTTCCTTGACATTAGATAATAAAACATCAAGATTTTAAACTATTTGAGGGTCATCACTAAATACGTTAAAACCACACATGCACCATTAGCTGCTTTGTGTAAGTTATGAATCAGAGCTTATTCACTGACAAAAACAAAACAGGATCTGCAAACGCTAGAGCAGTGGTTCTCCACGTGTGGTTGCTGGACCACGACAGCAACCACAGCACCGGGGCTCCGCCACGGACTAGCTGACCATGCCTAAACCTATGTGTCGGGGCACAGTAATCCATTTTGTAACAAGTCCTGAAATTGGAAAACCACTGTGCTAGAAGAATGGAACAATAATAAAAACTTGGCAGGAATGCTAAAAAAATACCTATAGACAATCCTAAAAGTGAGCTGAGGATTACTTAATATTTCATTTTAAAAACCAGAATCAAATATTAATATAAAAGCATCATGTGACAGGAAAAACTTGATGTCTAAATTCACTATACAGGGGACTTCCCTGGCAGTCCAGTAGTTAAACGACTCCATGCTTCCACTGCAAGAAGCCCAGGTTCGATCCCTGGTCTGGGAACTAAGATCCCTCATGCTGTGCAGTATGGCCAAAATTAAAATAAATAAATTCCCTATACATTTCTCCTTTAGAATATGAGGTTTCTTTTTTTTTTTAATTTAATATCTCCAAATTTTATAAAGAGGCTCATTTCCAGAATGCTTGGTTTTCAAAAAAACCAAGTCATTAAAAAAAGAAAAAAAAAAGATATAAGGGAGAGAAGGAGAAAGGGAGGGAGGGAAAAACTGTAACAGATTCACCACTCTGAATTACACCAACAGGTACAGCAGTAAAAAGGCTGCTTCTTTCATATTTTTAGAGCAGTGACTAATCAAGCTTAAAAATACTAGATAAAAAAAATTTCCAAATTCCATCTCAACTAACACAGAAAATGACAGTTGCCTTCTTCACAAGAGAAATAAGTAAGGCACTCAGGGACAGATTCTAGTTTATAGTCTAAGCAAAATTAGATAACTGAACACACACACATACACACACAACATCCTATTGAGAAAGGACCAATTCTCTGACTCCAAGGGAGAAGAAAAAGAAAGGACTAAACAAATGAAAGGCTCCATATGGTCAACTTCAAATTGTTCTTTCCAAGCTTTGGACATGAAGACAGCCTTCCCTATAGGTTCCAGAGACTGAGAGTAGCTAAGAGTCAATAGCTTAAAAGCTCGTCCACCAACCAGCAACTCAATACTTGAGTGGTATTCCCGGGCGACCTACAAACCACAGAAAAGAGAAGTCGTGTATGGAAAATCACTGAGTAGCTGCCAGACACTCTAGAAGCTACTCCATCGCCCATCCCATTTCCACTGATTCCAGCCAGAATAGAGGAGAAAAGATGGTGGATACCTACCACGTCGGTCTCATGCGCTTTCAAGCTACCCCCTCTCAATCTGCTTATATTCTTTTGTGGAAGGCAACTTTTAACATAAAAGTCTACAATTCCATATTTCAGCACATGAACATAAAGCTTTTATCACACTGTACACATGAAAGAGAATGATTTGTAACTGACCTCTTACAATTCTTATTGTCTGAGCAGATATCCACTTCCAAAAAGAACTAAAGAGAGAAAGAGAGAGATTTGAAGTGGTGGTGTTTTTTTAAGAAACTCAAATTTTATCAATTGCTGTTTTGTTCATCTTAGTACAAAACAAAATACTCAAAGTATCATTTTTCTGGTCAAATATACTATTTATTAACTTGAAGTTCAAAGTTCAGTTGACTGTTTAAATCTGTAAATCAAAAGCATTATACATCCACAGACTTTATTATTCATGAAAAGTATTAAACAATAATCCAAGCTTACCATTCCACAAGGTGACTTTTCCAATTGTGTGTCTTGATGGACACATTCTGACCCTATGACTTCCAATATTTCATCAAAAAGGAGGCAGTGGGGACAAGAGAACCACTAGATTCTCAACAATTCACTCAGGCTCTGATTATGTTTTCACAAAGGTTGGGAACCAAGGAGAGGACAGGTCTCTTAATTATTAAGTCCCTAAACTAAGGGATGAGATGGCTGGATGGCATCACTGACTCGATGAACATGAGTTTGAGTAAACTCCGGGAGTTGGTGATGGACAGGGAGGCCTGGCGTGCTGCGATTCATGGGGTCGCAAAGAGTAGGACACAACTGAGCGGCTGAACTGAACTGACTGAAACTAAGGGCGCCAAGAAGCTCTAGCTATTTCCCAAATACTCAGTTTCCTTCTTTGCCCAACAATTATAATGTATTCGGGGTAGAAATTCTCAACTTTGACTACATGTAACAATCACCTGTGCAGTTTTATTTAAAACAAATAAATGGATCAAGAAGATGGGGAGTATTTATACAATGGAATGTTAGCCATAAAAAATGAAATTTTGTCATTTGCAACAACACAGATGGATTTGGAGGGTATTAAGTGAAATAAGTCAGGCAGAGAATGGCAGATATTGTATGATACCACTTACATGTGGAATCTAAAAAATACAACAAACTAGGAAGTGAATATAACAACAACAACAAAAAGGCAGGTTCACACTTACAAAGAAAAGACTAGTGATTACCGGTAGGGAGCGTGAAGGCGGGGAGGAACTATAAAGGGGTATAGGATTAAGAGGTACAAACATTATGCACAAAATAAGCTACAAGGATATACTGGGTAACACAGGGGCTATAACCAATATTTTATAGTGACTGTAAATGAAGTATAACCTTCAAAAACCGTTGACTCTATATTGTGTGCCTATATATAACACTGTATATAATACTGACCATCAACTATACTTCAATTTTAAAAATTATTTAAAAAACAAACCAATATATATATATTATAATATATGTATTTATATACTTATATATTATGTTTATATGTTTATATTTATTTAAAATATAAATATTTATTTATAATATAAATATTTATAAAATATTTATTATATTTATGAAAATATAATATAAATAATATTTATTTATAATATTTATATATTATTATATTGTTATAACAATTACATTGTTATAATATAACATATTGTTATAATTAATGTTATAATATATATTGTTATAATATAACAATAATATAACAATATAATTATACTATATTATATTATATATTATTGCATAATATAATTATATTATATTATTATATTATTAATATGTAATATATATTATATACATAATATGTATTATATATATATAAAGCCTGCATGCCCTGAATCCTCTGCTCCTGCAACAAGAGAAGCCACTGCAATGAGAAGCCAATGAATATATTATATTATACATATATTTATATGTATATTATATATTTACATAAAGCCTGCATGCCCTGAATCCTCTGCTCCTGCAACATGAGAAGCCACTGCAATGAGAAGCCTGTGCACTGCACTTAAGAGAGTAGCCCCCACTCTCCATCACTAGAGAAAGCCCTTGCACAGCAGTGAAGATCCAGCACAGCCAAAAATCAATTTAAAAAATTATAAAGTAAATAAACCTAGGCTTGAAAACCATTGCTCTAGAGTACAGAAGAAAAAAGAAGGAATGAACCTCTTTATACAGAGAGGAAAGTCCAGAAGCTCAAAGAGAGGACCCCAAATGACAAGCAACGGGACTGGGGACAGTGCAGGTATGCCAAGTGCTGAGTTAGGGTGTACCTGATTGTGTAATCTGAGCTAGTGTTATTCCCTACAATTATGGCAAAGAAGGCAGTGAAAAGAGGCAGGAAAAAGTACATAAGTGTGGATGGAATGTAAACAAAGGAGTCAAAACCAAGGGCCAAGATGACACTCTGACCCTACCACATATTGGCAGTGCACCGGAACAAAGCACTAAACGTCTCCGAGTCACCTCATCTGTGAAAATAAAAAGAAGCCACATGTACATCATGGGACTGCTGTGAGGACTGAGAATACAGGAAAGGCTTTTATAAATGATGATGCACTGGACCACTGTGCTTCAAATATGAGTTAACCAACAATCAGAATACTAAGACATTAATGTAGTGAGTTACAACCAACATTTTAAAACTCAAGTAAACAGAAAATGTTGGGACTTCCCTGGTGGTCCAGTGGTTAGTAATCCACCTTGCAATGCAGGGGATTCAATCCCTGGTCAGGGAACTAAGACCCCACATGCCCAGGAGCAACTAAGCCCATGCACTACAACTCCACAACTAAGGAGACTACGCGCTGCAGCCATAGAATCTGTGCCCCATGGATCCGCAAGACACAACAAAAGATCCTGCATGCCCCAACTAAGACCCGATGCAGCCAAACAATATATATTAAAAGATAAAGAAAAATTAAGTATTTTTTAAAAAGAAATGGTTAACAGTGCACCATACTGTAAGGATAAATATTGCTTTGTAAATTTTTGTATTAATTGCATATATTTCATAATGTTAACAACATCTTATTATGGTTGTGTCCAAAAAGTTAAGTCCTTTTTTTTTTTTTTTGCCACACCCCCTGGCTTGCAAGACCTTGTTTCCCTGGCCAGGGATTGAACCCACGTCCTCAGTGAAAACCCTGAGTCCTAATCACTGGACCTCCAGGGAATTCCCCCAAAAGTTAAATCTTAAAGTTACAATTTGGCAAATAGATGGGGAAACAGTGGAAACAGTAGCTGACTTTATTTTTCTGGGCTCCAAAATCACTGCAGATGGTGATTGCAGCCATGAAATTCAAAGACGCCTATTCCTTGGAAGGAAAGTTATGACCAACCCAGACAGCATATTAAAAAGCAGAGACATTACTTTACCAACAAAGTCCATCTAGTCAAGGCTATGGTTTTTCCAGTGGTCATGTATGGATGTGAGAGTTAGACTGTGAAGAAAGCTGAGCGCTGAAGAATTGATGCTTTTGAACTGTGGTGTTGGAGAAGACTCTTGAGAGTCCCTTGGACTGCAAGGAGATCCAACCAGTCCATCCTAAATGAGATCAGACCTGGGTGTTCATTGGAAGGACTGATGTTGAAGCTGAAACTCCAGTACTTTGGCCACCTGATGCAAAGAGTTGACTCACTGGAAAAGACGCTGATGCTGGGAGGGATTGAGGGCAGGAGGAGAAGGGGACAACAGAAGAAGAGATGGCTGGATGGCATCACCAACTTGATGGACATGGGTTTGGGTGGACTCCGGGAGTTGGTGATGGACAGGGAGGCCTGGCGTGCTGCGGCTCATGGGGTCGCAAAGAGTTGGACACGACTGAGGGACTGAACTAAACTGAAAGTCACAATTAATCTTCAAACTGTCCCCTCTACTTTATCCTCTCTAGCAAACACAGTGGGTTAGGTACCTAAACCAATGGCTCTTAAAGTTTCCTAAGTCAATACATTACAAGAAATCTGATAAAAGCTATGAACCCTTTTCCGACAAAAATTCATGCTCACCCAAATTTGGCTTGCATACAAGTTTGGGAACCCTAAAGCCTTGCCATGAAATAGGCTTAGACTTTTTTCTCTAAGTGGTCAAAGAATGGAGTTGCGCCCTCAAGAAGGCTCATACAGCTGCTGTCTTATCACCTCTAAAAGAAGGCCTTTCCCCAAATAGAGCTGTAGAACATTCTACTAAGCCAAATAAATACTTCATTATATCAAATGTTAGCAAGGTCAAATTTTCTTTTATTTAAAAATACATATAGTTGACCCTTGAACAACAGCAAGGGTTAGAGGTGCCAACCCTCCACACAGTCAAAAAGTCAGGTATCACTTGCAGGGGGCCTTCTGTATATGCAGTTTCCATACATGCAGTTCCTTCAAATCCAAGATTCAGCATCCACAGATGTGACCAACCTTGGTGCCCACAGTAATTACAGTATTACCCTTGTCATTCAAAGATCACCTGTCGATATTCTTGAACTTTTATTTGGGGACCTGAAAATATTTGCAGAAGGCTCCCAAACTATACCTTATGTCACTGAAAAAAATGAGGTAAAGCTAACTATAGCCAATGCACTTATTTATTTAGACATTTCTCTAAATAAAATAGAAGAGACTTCGCCAAACTTACGAAACATGTTCTTGAACTCAAATGACACTGTATTTTCCCAGCAATTCTAATAAAGAGGCAGCAATTAGTTTTCACAGTGACTGATAAAAAGTATCCAAGCTAACACAGCATATCCTTGCCCTTTTAAGCCATAGTAACTTCACTGCAGATGGTGACTGCAGCCATGAAATTAAAAGACGCTTACTCCTTGGAAGGAAAGTTATGACCAACCTGGATAGCATATTAAAAAGCAGAGACATTACTTTGCCAACAAAGGTCCATCTGGTCAAGGCTATGGTTTTTCCAGTGGTCATGTATGGATATGAGAGTTGGACTGTGAAGAAAGCTGAGCGCCAAAAAATTGTTGCTTTGGAACTATGGTGTTGGAGAAGGTTCTTGAGAGTCCCTTGGACTGCAAGGAGATCCAACCAGTCCATCCTAAAGGAGACCAGTCCTCGGTATTCATTGGAAGGACTGATGCTGAAGCTGAAACTCCAGTACTTTGGCCACCTCATGCAAAGAGTTGATTAATTGGAAAAGACCCTGATGCTGGGAGGGATTGGGGGCAGGAGGAGAAGGGGATGACAGAGGATG